CCTTTAAAGTTATGCTTTTGCTCATATCTGAGTAATTTTGATGAATATATATTAATATAAAACATAATGTTCATTAGAATTGTGTCTATACTGTAAAATTACCCCACATCATCGATTCAGAAATATTATCTACTGAGGTTGCTACTTAAGAAAAAGAAAAAAAAAAACCTTAACATTTTACACTTTAAGGTTACTCTTTGACATGAGTTTTTAAAATATTTTAATGAATTAATCAACAGATATATTATGCTCTCATAAAACATTTCATATGTAGTATGTTTATTTGCTTGGAAGTGAAGTAAACAAGAAATATGATTCCTAACATTTTTCTGCTTATTTTCAAGACAGGCTGGTGATACTTTAATATATTATTCCCTTCATCCATATTAAATTTTTAGTGTTTAGCATAAATTGTAAAATAATATTATGGCAGTTTGTTAAAATGCTATTAGTTACTTGTTTATTAATATGAAGTTAATGTTTACATTTTCAGACGGGCTCTAAATTTATTAAAAGTTAATATTTTAGAAGATAATGTGATATTAAGAACTCAGAACTGCAAATGTAGTTGCTTTTAAGTATGGATCCCTTAAATTCATGTGGAATCAACTTGTTGGTGATGTTCAACATATTAAGTAGGTGGATACTTTTATGCGAAAGTAAACTTCATTTCACCACTTCTTCCAATCCCCGACTGTATTCATTGATAGGAAAATGACTCTTTCAGTTTTACTCATTGAATTTCTTGAATTTTTGTTTCACATCTCTTTTCCCCCAAGAAAACAAAGGGAAAGAAAAGAGACTACTATTCATGAATATGGTCAGGATACCTTTAATCCTCATGTGAATTTTTATCAGTCACCATCATGATTTCGAGTCATGAATTTATTTTTACATGCTTATTATGCATGCATATTTACATGCATTGATTATTTAATTGATCTTAAATTTCATTAAATTTGAATAGAAGAAAAATTTGTTCATAGGATTTTGTTCTCGTTATATTACATTTTATTTTATTTTGTTTTATTTGAATGATCAGTTTAAGGCTTATAAAGGTTGATTTGCTCCTAAACTGCTTTGTTCCCAGACATTGCCATCTTCCCCAACTACCACCAAGTCCTCTCCATCTGATCCCATGACCACCTCCAGAGCTAATCAGGTACAGTATCATCCTGTCATCTACACCATACCTTTCACGGGTGATTGCCTGCACACTGGAGAAAAAGATAATGGTGGGTTAAGGATGTATTCGTTCATTCACCACGATCAGATTCCAAATAACCTGGGAAAGAAATATTATTTCTGAAAATTTGTATGCATTTTTAACTTTAGATAACAAAAATATATTCAGGTGGTAGACTACTATAATTTTGGATTTTCCCCTTTAAATTATGATGACTTTATGGAGCTCTGAGGGTTATTTATTGAGTTGGTGTTTCTGATCTCCCTTATTGTTTCTTCCTAGGATTCTTGGTATATAACTTAAGAATATCATATATGTACAAAATAAATGTTTAAGTATGATTTATTGAGCAAAGGTATATCTTTAAAAGTGAATGCATTTTCATTTGCTTTTTATTTCAGACATTATTTACTATGTAAATAATTTTAAACTTTGGATGAAAAGCATTTGTAGCAATCTAAAAGTAACTGAAAATTGGTATTTCTGATCATTTTAATGTTATTTAATGACTTAGGAAATGGTATTTTCTTAGATTTAATACTAGCATTTTCTTTGGTGGAGTTGCAAACTGCAAAGTACAAATATATCTTATTAGTTTGATTTAATGATTGTTTAGTTCTGAATATTTGTAGGTCATTCTTCAAATGTGGTTAATTTGGGCAAATTTAAGGAAATCATCTAAATATTTTATGTAATTCATTCATACTGTACTTTAACTTTACAATTGTTGAAAAATATATTTATTAAAATGATTAAACGCATTTTCATTTTGTCTGAGTTGAGCTTCATTTAGGTGAGAAATGTTTTTTTCTTTAATACTTCCACTTTCTTACTAATACAAGACCTTATGGAATTACTTAAATATTAAATAAAAGCTTATGTTTTAAATATATTTTTCACAGTTGACTAATAAATCATTTACTTTGAACTATATTTGCTAAAATATTAAGTGTGGCTTTTGCATATCATCTAATATAAGGCTATCATAATTATTTTGCTCACTATTGATTCTAATACTTTTGCAATCTTAGGAAAAAAATTAAAATAATAACTGGATGCAAAACTAATAACACATTAGGAGTTGATTTTTATTTTATGCAATAGCATTCCCTCAGACTAAAATACTTTATAATGCTCACATTTTAGCCCCAATACATTGGTTTAAAAAGTATACATCTGTAGTGATGAAACACAGCACTTCTCTTTGAAGGAAGTAATACTGTTTATTAAGTGAGAACCAAGCTTATATTAGTGATGCATGAAATTAAGAAGTGTGTGTATGTGTGTATGCTTTATATTCCTTATCAATTATATGAGCTATAATTATATGACATAGAAAACTATTGGGAAAATAACTGGCTCTATGTTTTTGATGCTTCTTTTACACTTCATCCTTATTTCTTTCTAAGCAAAAACAAGACAAATGCATACCACTACAATTAAAAAAACTAATGCTTTTTCTGAACATAAAAAGTAAAAAATTCTGTATCTAGGAAGAAAAAATTTTCTATGAAGTTAGATTTGAATATTCTTTTATATGAACATGTGAATTTATATAAAATGATTTCTTTAAAAGTCTAATTATATGTTGACATTTACTAATACACTTTACTATCTAGATATGTTACTACATCCACTTCTGCCAGAATCTAATATTTTTTTAATTTGAAATAATAAGTCATTTGTGGTTTTAAACTCTGTCCACTATACTCAGTTATATTTATTAAATATATTTCATTTTTACTTGTTTTTCTTCTGTTCTTGTGCAAACAAGCATAGTAGCTCCTGGAAAACATGAGGCAAAATATAAAAGAACAAAACAAAATCCTTAACGTCATTGAAGAAATTACAGTTATCATCCATCTTGATGTTATTACTAGTTTTATTTCCTACAGTATTTCCCAATAGATTCTATTTATATTGTAAGATAGAAGGTAATGTGGGTTTTGTTGTTTATAGGTCACAATTGTTTCTTGTGTATAATCCTCATTAAGCTAGTATCACTTTATTATATAGACGTAGATCTGTAAGGGTAACAGGAATAGGATATCCTATCTAACAGGATATGCTAATTGACCCTCACGCTGTCGCAAAGATGGTGGTCCCACATCCAGTAAGGAGGGAATATGCTAATTGACCCTCATGCTGTCACAAAGATAGTGGTGCCCACAGCCAATAAGGAAGGAATATGCTAATTGACTGACCCACCCTCAAAGATGGCGGCACCCACAGCCACAAGATGGCAGTGCCCAGACCCCTTGCCGTGCACCTGCCTCCAGAGTCCCCCAGTCCCCTCAGCCCCCCCAGCTGCCCAGGGCCACCCAAGGCTCAGGTAAACAGGGCGTGCCAAGGCTTGTGCTGCTGGCAGTGGCAGCACCAGAGGTGTGATGGGACGTCACCTTCCCCTGATCGCCGGGTCGCCTCCCGCCCATGAGGCCTCCCAGACTGTGAGAGAGGACAGGCCAGGCTGAGGGACCCCCCTCCAGTGCATGAATATTCATGGATCGGGCCTCTAGTATGATAATATTAACCCCTGCTTCCATAATTAAAATACTTTTAAACCTATAAGACAATAGCTTTTATTACTGGTTTAGATTTGCTTTATTCTTACCCAGCTATTTCGCAGACATGTCTTCAGTTTTATAAACTGGAAGAAATGATACAAACGCAGAGCATTCCATTTTAAATTAAAAATTATTGTTTAGGGTGTTCTAGCTAATACGATACCCTATGCCAAGTATGTCAAATGCGCGCGCAGCAGACCCCATGCCTCCTTTATGGCATGCAGCCTGCCACCCATGAGTTTGACATGCTTGCCCTATGTCGTTGAAAGTAGCTATAAACTTTTGTCATGTGAATTTTTATAAATCAATATAAAATACATTCACAATGTTAGGGTGATTTTCATTTTTGTTAATTATTTTAATAACTAAATGACTTATGATTGAATTCTATTTCCAGCATAGTTTGTCTGTTATAAGAAATTAGGGAAACCCACTCCTGAAACCTATATGTTCATGTTGACCAATGTCACCCCAATCAATTGAATAAATAAACATTTAAAAAGTAAATATAAAAAAGAAATTAGAGAGTATTAATCTTTTTAAAACCCCAAAATAAAAAGCACAAAAAATATTATTGAAGAGTTAGTTTTATCTGCAGTTTCAATATTTAAAAATATTTTCTATTCTTTTAAAAATAACTAAGTTTCAATACATAGTGAATTTTTGATTCTCAAGTTTACATAGCTCAGACTAACAGACTGTAGCTATAATGTTGTGGCTCTATAATAATTTGACTCTGCAAATTGAAGAACTATCATATCAGAAGCCATATAGAATGGAGGCTAAAAATCAAGACTAGCCAAATTGCCTATGATCATAGCCTTGTTCTGTCACTTACTTGCTGAGTAAATTGAGTTCTGTTTCCCTTTTTGAAACTCAAATTATAATAGTACCTCAAAGAATAGATTTACAAAATAAATTCATTAACTATTCTTAGAACAGCACAGTTTCTAGAATGTAATACCACATTAAGTTAGGTTATATTTATTTTATATTTTTGAATTATCTTTCAAATAATCATGAAAAAGAACAGTTATCCTTTAAGATGCTAAGTGATGTGGGACATAGCATGTTAAAACTGATATTTTTATCTTTAAAGAAAACTTCTAAGATAGTATTGCTGCTTTTTCAACCCTAAAGTATTTCTGTAATCAAAGTCTCTATGCTTTTTAAGATAGCTTAAATAACAATTATGTTCTTCTCTATTGAGAGTAGTTAGTTTTTGTCCAATTAATAATGCAAATGTTATTATATCCCTTTGAGAAAGAAAAATTAGCAAGATGCAAGTTTGACATTTTTTTACAGATGGATTTTTTAATATGAGACAAATGTAGAGAAATAATAAGTAGAATTACATTATTTAAGCAATGTGTTTAAACTTAATTTAAAAAGTCAGTTGGTTTAATCTGCTCTTAGTTGATACTAACTTTTCAGTCACTTTAAGATTCAACAAAATGTTTTTGTTAATCAGTGGTGCTAAAAACTAAATTTCCTCCTTAATTTTTAGTTCCTGCTCGTTTCTTCTCAAATTTTAGGAAAATATGAAAAAGAGAGTGATTTTAGAAATATGTGCTTTATGGGCATTTATTTTTTTGTGTACTGATAAATTTGAAATTATATATTTAAATATATAAAAACAAATGTAGTCTAGGTAATTCATACATAATACCCCTGCTATGGTAACAGAAAAAACAAATAAAATGTCTGGTCTCACTTTAAATTCATGTCCACGGATCTCACATGGGCTCTGAATGCTGTCAGATAATCAAGCATAAGCCCATTCACCTTTTTACTCTCTGGATAACTCTTTCATAGATTCTCTTCTCCTTTCAGTCTTCCTATTTGTTTTCTGTTGCTGTGTAACAAATTACCGCAAACGCAGTGTCTTAAAGAGCCCACATTTATTATCTCATAGTTTCCAGGGGTCAAGAGTCTGGACACCGCTTAGCTGGGTCCACTGCTCCTGTTCTCACAAGACTATAATCAGAGTATTGCCTGGGGTGCATTCTCCTCTAGAAGCTTAACTACAGACAGTCCTCTTTTAAATCCAGGTTGATGGCAGCATTCAGTTCCTTGCAGCTGTATGACTGAGGGCCAACTTCCTGGCTTTTGTCAGGAGCAGCCCTCAGATTCTAAAGACTGCCAAGTTCCTGCCCCGGGTCCCTCTGTACAGGCACCTCACAGCTCGGCTGTTTCCTTGCTAGCAAAATGGAGTCTTATTTATTGAACCTAATCACAGGAGGGACTTCTCGTCTGCTTTACCATATAGCATAAGCAGAAAGTGACATTCCATTCCATTGCCTTATTCTGATGATTAGCATCAAGTCAATTTACACCTATATTCAAATGGAGCCGATCACACAAGGTGTAACACCAACGGGCCATCTGGAATTGTCCCTACCACAACTTCCC